ACAAAAGTATGCTCATCAGCATGGACAGCCAACGACGAAATTCATCTGGGTCCACAAATGAGCAGGGTTGTTTTGCAAACTGAGCAGTGGTTGCCGCTTAACCCCTATCCACATTTCCACTTATTACCATCATCACTTCCAAACAGGTTCAGCGAGAGTACGCCTGATGATCTTGATCAGCCAAATAATCAGCACATGTCGAGCAATAGTTACTATTTTTCTTCGAGTCGTTCCCAATAGTGCAGGCACCTGATTTAGCCCGAACACAGGGAGCAGTAAAAGCCGTACACCGGTTAAGCTCATCACTTAACTGTGGTTCGTCGGCCTATTTTCCGCAAATCTTCTCTGGCATGAAATCGGTAACTTATAGGATTGGTATGAATGCGTTCGATGGAACGCTTTCTCATACGATGCGCTATTTGGACATTTGCGCATTGTTTCTGACAGGTCGTAAAAAAAGAATGAGTTTATTATGGGCGACTAACCGCCAATTTTTTCCCCAATGTTTTTCTCTGATTCTTATCCCGCCAGTTACACCGCTTAGCCCGAAATACAAAGATAATATTCCGAGAAGTCACCACTTCGGAAGGCTTGAGCGGCCGTCTGTTGATTCGCTGTGAAGCAACGTTTTATCTGTGACACAAAAGAATTCTCCGACCAAATGAGCAGGTAATCATCATCATCATCAACGGCATGGCTAGGATTAATTCAGAGAGAGAGAGAGAGAGAGTCAATCAACAAATTCTCTTTCGAGGAGCACACGAATTATATTGTTCACTAGTATGAGCAGCAATATCTTACGGACAATATGTATAGCGGAAATATCCTAAGGTTTTCAGAAAATCACCAATCAGTTTTTGAATAAGAAGTAAGATGTTTCCTGATCTGCACCTGTTCCACTGAGTGACACCGTTTTAGCTAGGTAAGGGGCGTTATCTTGTATCTCAAAACAAACAAAAATCTCTTGACCGGGTATTGGGTCCAATTCACGGAATCGTCCTTTTCTTTGGAAACTGTGCGAGTTTTTCATGGGCTTTCTTGAACTGAGTTCATCCAGATCCAGTATACGTTGGCCGGCGAATTTTAGTTAACACACTGGTAGTTCATTTTAAGAGGTTCATCAGCAAGAAGCAAAGGAATTACACTTCGTAAGTGTTTCGATGGAACTGAAACTTCATTTTCCACTGAAGCGTTAAAGACGGCTAGGGGTCAGTTATCATGGCTTGCGCCGTGACTAGACCTCGCTGATAACATAGTCGACCTTTCACACGCCTTCAAAACAGTACACTTTACATTACGCATGCGTTGTCTGGAAGGGTCACGGGGTTGAGGCCTTTAAAATTACTGATTCTTAACCATTTTTTCAACTGACTACTCAGGATGCGCGTCAGAGGTAAATTTCTGCCGCACTTTGCTCACAAATGTCGATGCATATATGAAGAGCATCTGACTTGAACCCACTCCTGATATCCATTGTCCACCTCTGC